TATAACCAAAAGATCTCGCGGTTCCTTTCGATATTCGCCCATATCGGACCGTAACTTCCTGGGTTGAGGCCCCTGCATGATTGTAAGAAAAATCACGTTTTTAGCTTTTGAACCCCCAAGAGCTAACAAATTTTATCCAAATTTTGATAAAACTTAAAATATATGTTTATTAGTCTGGAGGCTCAGCGCGGGGGGGGGGGGGGGTCCATCAAATGGGCACAAAACCAGACCCAACTTTTCTAGAGTAAACTTTTGCGTAGAATACCATGACGAGTGATAATCAGTCCGCCGTTGGGGCGTTTTCGAGATATTCGGGGTCAAAGGTCAAATGGGTTCATATGCACTGAAAGTGAATGCGCGGTCACTCTTGTATCATGAAAATAAGCTGAATATGATCGAAAGTAATCACACTTTCAATAAAAATGTAAACTTGCTAAATTCACCTTTGTTCTTTGTGACCCCAGAGGTCAAATGGTCACATATTCCGTTTTAGCACTAGGAAGATTTAAAGTAATAAATGTTGGCGTAAAATATAAAATCTAAAGCGAAACCTGTTCTAATTAATAATAGGAACATTTAAAATTTATCTTTAGGTGGTCTTAGCACCGAACTTTTACTTTGAAACGTCAAAAATGAACTTGCATAACAGAACCAAAACGCTTCGGACCCTGTTTCAAAACTACGTAAAAACTGTTTAAGCAAAATCTCTCCGAATTAGTTTTACAACAAATGCTATACATAATGTTTCATGGCTGGACTTCAGCCTGTAGGCCGCATCACAAAGCCTACCAAAATTACCAATACGACATATATATCCTGTGAACTACTACGTACAATGCATTCGTCGGTTTTATCTGCGTCCATGTTCCGGAGAACTTCATAAAAACTCATAAAAAATTTGCAAAGTTTTAATCTCGTCGTCACAGATTAACTTCGGTTTTCCTAGACTGGGATTCTCGGAAATCCACGCGGCCTGCAGGCTGGAGTCCAACACTGAAACTATTCAATTGTTTATCAGATAACTAGTATCGTTATGTATAACAATCGTTGTGAAAAAAAATTGGAGAGATTTCGATTTGACAGTTTTTGCGTATTTTTGAAACAGGTTTCAAAGTGTGTTTGTTCTGTTATGCAAGATCATTTTCGACGTTCCAAAGTCCCTAAAGATAAATTTTAAATGTTCCTATTATTAATTAGAACAGGTTTAGCTTTAGTTTTTATATTTTACGTTGACATTTTATTGCTTTAAATCTTCCTAGTGCAAAAACGGTAAATTTCACCTTTTCACCTCCAGGGTCACTAAGACTAAAGGTGGATTTAGCAAGTTTACAATTTTGATGAAAGTGTGATTACTTTCGATTATTTTCAGCTTCTTTTCATAATACAAGAATGACTGTACATTCACTTTCAGTGCAAATGAACTCATTTGACCTTTGACCCCGAATATCTCGAAAAATCCCCAACGGCGGACTGATTACCACTCGGCATCGTATTCTACGCAAAATTTTACTCTAGTTAAGTTGGGTTTGGTTTTGTGACCATTTGATGGACATCCCCCCCCCCCGCGCTGAGCCTCCGGTCTATATATATTTCCCTTCGATACTCGCGTGTATTGGGACGTAACTTCCTGGATTATGGCCCCTGATTGTACGAAACATGTTGGTGTTTTAGCTTCTTCTCTGTCCATCTCTTGCAAAATGTGGGCATATCTTGCATGGCAACCGCTTGTTAAAGTGAAGAATGGGCTTATAATGGAATTTTACAAAATACCTTTATAATAAACTATAGACATTAAAATGTAATGCTATGAAGTGATTGGTTGTGTTTGTTTTATGGAATTATAAAGACATATAGGAATAAAAGATTTCATTCAGTGTATATAAAATTTATTTTATAGTTCTACAACCTTACATCATCTTGCATTTTCATACGTCCATATTGCACTTTTGGCCGAGACAGTACCTCGGGATTTTTTTCAGCGTGGTTTCTCGTTGCCCCATTTTGTCCCTTGCATAGATGTCCCTTGCAAGTTGGGTTTGGTTTTGTGCCCATTTGATGGACATCCCCCCCCCCCCCGCGCTGAGCCTCCGGACTATATATATTTCCCTTCGATACTCGCGTGTATTGGGACGTAACTTCCTGGATTATGGCCCCTGATTGTACGAAACATGTTGGTGTTTTAGCTTCTTCTCTGTCCATCTCTTGCAAAATGTGGGCATATCTTGCATGGCAACCGCTTGTTAAAGTGAAGAATGGGCTTATAATGGAATTTTACAAAATACCTTTATAATAAACTATAGACATTAAAATGTAATGCTATGAAGTGATTGGTTGTGTTTGTTTTATGGAATTATAAAGACATATAGGAATAAAAGATTTCATTCAGTGTATATAAAATTTATTTTATAGTTCTACAACCTTACATCATCTTGCATTTTCATACGTCCATATTGCACTTTTGGCCGAGACAGTACCTCGGGATTTTTTTCAGCGTGGTTTCTCGTTGCCCCATTTTGTCCCTTGCATAGATGTGGGACTTCTCTTAATTTTTAATTACACAAATGAAGTGAATCCAGCATTAGTGTCACGACAGTGTTTCCCTATATAATGTCGGCCCAGGGAAGTTTTCCCATTTTAAACATGGAGCCCCAATAGGCCATTAACTCTATCCTGTATATGGATGAACACTTTTTCGGGGTCAAAAGTCAGATGTAAAGTGTTGTCTAATTTTCACAAAATGTTTTATTATTACTACAATCCCATGAATCAATGTTTTTATTCGGCAATTATTTATACAAAATATGGATTTTGGTTATAAATCTAAATTCACAAAATGTTGCTATTTTTTTATTCCAACAAAAAAATCTCAAAAATCAACACATAAACTCGCATAAATTCGACGGTCTTATATTTTACCCAAATCAAAGTGGTTTGGTCGTTTTTAGTTAAAGTAGCTAAGTCTCTAACTCAATATCATCTAAAGTCTTCCAAATTGAAAACACGAATTATTTGTCAATTTGAATCAACACCGATGTTGTGATCTTACCGGGAAAAGATGGGCTTCTGATATCCAATTTTATAACAGGGCACGCGAAGAACGAGGCTAGACATATTCCACAAGTCATGTCAAACGGTGACGGCATATTCTTATCTGGAGAGCCTGCGCAATAAACACTATCGGTGTAGACTGGTATAACCAGACGCTAGAGATTGTCATTCGATTGAGACTTCTGGCGTATTTCGCCGAACATAACTGAATGCAAAATCAGTTTATATATATTTAGATTACATTATTATATGCGTTGCAACCCATTTGTGTCAATTTCTAGGTCCCAAATATTAGCGATTTACATACATTATGCAAGAGCTAAATCTGCCGATTTCAGGTCTTTCTTTAGGCCTGAAATGTTATCTAAATTATTCATTAGACATTAATTAACTTATCCAGACCATAATCAACTCTCGATGTCATCGCTAGTCTGCCATATTTACTGGATTTTGATCCGATTTGCTGCTCAACTTTCATTCATGATTTAATCATGAAATGGATAATCGAGACTATGTTTTTATCGTACCGACTTTAGTAATGATGATCGAGGCTAGGCCGAAAATTCAATCGCTAAATTTTTGGTTCAGAGTGGATCAATTTGCCAGAAATTTTCAGCAAATTCCCTTCACATTATCTAGTTTTTAACTATTATAGTGAGAACTGTCAGCTCTTTATCTAATCTCCCATAATATATTTTTAACATAAGGGGCTTTATAAATTTTATATATATATAAAAAAGGGATTCATTTGTACTTTGTCATATAAATGCACTTGCTCTAGATCTTATCTGAGACAGGTGCTAGAAAATAAATGAAAATATAGGCCTATGATGCATTGATTTTCAAATACAAAATATTGCATGTAAAGTAGCGATATAGTTTTTTATTAGAGAGCTTAATTTGGTTTTAATATGGGCCTTATTGCTTCAGCTGTTCAACGATATAACTAATTTCAACATTTTAAAATGCGCACATTTTGTATTTATTTTTATTTTAATTTTTAAACCGTATAAATATTATTTATTTTTAAATAGAATTTAGTTGATTGTATATTTGTTCTATTCAAAGAAAATCGAAAAATCATCTGTATTTAAAAAGCCTGAAAACAAAAGAAGAGTTATCTGCAGGTTTAATAAAACGCCTTGCAATATGCGTTGTTTCCTTTGATCAGGACAGGATTAAGACTTTTTTTTTATTTAAAGCCTTAAACAACCAAGATTATTATGTAATTCAAATATAAGTTATTCAATATAAAACTCTAGGCCCTACTAAACCGTAAAACCGTTTTTCACCATTACGTTCTTCAAAACTATAATAATACTAATAAATTATTATTATCATTAATATTCTTGAATTTGTATGGATACGTTTATTTCGGGATTTTTTTTTTTATTGTTAGTTTGTTGAGCCTCTTTTTGTTGTCCCTGGTAGTGGTCCAGCTTCATTTTTGGTTTTGAAAAAGACCCAGTCTTGCTCGACTTACCTTGATGCACTAAGTATAGTCTATGCTTATTGCTTTGATTTAAACAATCTTTGAAGTTTTTTTTTTAAATATTCAGGGGGATATTTGAATATCGATATATTTATTGGGGCTACGGCAACTCTAATTTTATATTATATCTTTAACACATGTACGGTAGACCTATCATTTTTCAAACATCAAAAATATTTAAGAATTTCACAGAAGTCTATTTTAAAATACGTCTGCCTGAAGAAAAATGTCACGTAACCGTTTTTATAGCGTCTTGAATTATGTATCGACAGAAATGTCGTGGTAATATTTTTTTTTTAGCCCAGCCTACTTTGATGTAGTATATCATAATTGCCATGTGCACGACGCACGCCTGTCCTTCGAACAACTGATCAAGCTGGTGTGGTTATGTCGACTAGCTCTGTGTTGTACATTGACCAATCAAATTTAGAGGCTGTTTACTTCTTGTTTTTCACCGAGAAGGATTTTGACCTTACGGCTATGTGCCGTTTTCTCAACACTTTCTGCTTAATTGTTGCTGCGAGTGACGTTGTCAAAGACAATGAGACAGAAATCCATCGCCACGCTCTGCTTTAAGTTGTTAACGGTGAATATGGCTGGCATTATAAGGCTCAGTCCGTGTGGTGCGTAGAATTTTTGGATAAAGTACAAGAGAACGTGAACGCGGGTTCAAGGCTGTTATATTTTAACGTTATGTTGACAGTACAGTTACTTGAAACTAGTGAATATTACTCAAGCCATCAAAGTGATTAATGTTATAACTATTTTATTCGCGATGTGACGTTTGTGTAAAATCACAAGATGCTGCTCAGCGAAACACTTTATTATTGCTAAAAGTGAAACTGAGCTATTGGGACCATGTCCCGAAACAGTGATATATCATTTCATTCAGCAACTCAAACTTGTGTAGGCCAGACTAGCCTAATTTGTATTTGGCTGGTGTAAAAATTAGCCTTTTTACTAAAAACGAAAAAAAAAAACAGCTAAATTATTTATATACTGTACAATAAATGCACCCAAAGTCGACTAATCTATAATACTAATACAATGGTTTATGTATGTACAAGTTATTTGTTGTGTAGTGTTGTGTTGGGGTTGTATAGTGTTGTGCCAACCTTTGCCAAGTATGAGAAATCGCAAGGTGAGTATAGGAGGGAGTACCGTATGGTATAACAGGTTATCATGACCTGCAATGTTTACCTACCCTGGTTCCAGGGTAGACATATTACTGTCGACAACTTCCTCAAACAAAACATAGTTTTTATTTAACATTAAAACCCCAACGTGTTTCATTTTTCCACTGTTATCCTGCCTTGTATAGTAGAATATGTAGAATAATTTACAACAATTGTACAAGCTTATTTTGAAATGACTGGTACATGAGGGTTAATAAATCTATTATTGCACTTTGAGTTGCAACATAAGTAGATAATATTAAAACTACCAGACCAGAATTTTTAGAAATATCTTTTTTAGACAAAACATAAATGTACCAGAAGGTGGTTTGTTCATTTCTATTTGGCATACTTGATTGATCTTTCTTTTCCCTTGTTCATAATAAGAATTGAATTTATTTTCTGTATACATCGGCCTTCACTTTATAATAGTTTTTATCTGTTGAACTAGACTTTTTTCATATTTTACCAGTGTCATATTATAAGATAACAGATATTGCATCAAAATATCCAGTCACATCAGGACTGGACAGCATGCTACAGAACGAAAGGAAATGAAATGGGGTTTAACGTCCTACTGTTCTGCTCTGACTGGGCTAATGAAGATGGGTATACGCCATACAGTGTACTAAGAGGAAATTTTGCCCAGACAGCGGCGCTATGGCCTACTCTTATATCGAATTTCAGTGGTGGCTAAGTGGGTAAGACGCTGGCTTGCTAGCCTGGAGGTTGGGTGTTTGATCCCTGCATTGGTCGAGAAAGTTCATCCAGATTTTCCGGCGTGGTTCCCCCTTGTTAGTGATGTTGGACGGAGGGTCTGACAAGGACAGCTGTCTAGTCTTTGAATGGATGAAAAACCGAGGTCTCGTGTACACATTGGTGTGCACATAAAAGATCCCTTGACAGTTGTTCTGCGCCACTGACAAGTTGGATCCACTTTAATGGAGAATGAAATACTTTAGAAACAGCATACTACATGTATGTTGGTAGGTCTAGAATTATTTACAATCATTAAGTACAAATTTGTATTGATCTAGGGGAGTGTTAAAATTTTTTTAAAAGTTGACAAAATTTTAAAAGTTTAACCAGGTTTGTTCTGATCTGTAGAAAATATTGTGCATCAGTGCTGGAGAAGAATTTAACAAAGACGTTTTTAATCCCTACGGTACATTCTATGGTTGGTGGTAACCAAAAGATAATGCAGATTGATTGACTAGCAACATTTACAAGTGATCAAGAAGCTTTTGTTATGGAACAAAGGCCTTACTGCAGACCAAACATGTTTTGGAATTCAAAATTCACACTCAGTAGAATTCATTTTCATTCGAATTCATTTGAGGATAACTGTTAAAAAGTTTACATTTAATTATTTATCTCTACATACTTAAAATTATTACACTATATATATATTATAAATTATTTAATAATATTTGACTGGGCATAAATAATGGCTTATAGCAACATCTGCCTGGTTTTCGCCAAGTAAATTGGTTTCAAATTTTTATCTTGTTCATAAAATGAAAATCGCTATAAATGATAGTTACATTATATGCAATATGTGCAATTGGTTTGTTGCTCAGAAAATATTTAATTATCTTTAGATTTTGTTTTATTTGTCCTGGTATATAGAGAATCACTGAGAAGTTGTACAATTAATGTATCCTCTTAGTGAAAAAGAAAAAAAACCCAACTGAATTAGTTAAGACCATATTTACCTCGTAATGAATGTTGCTTACAGAAGACATAACACTGGCAGTGACACTGTCGTCAGTGTCATTGTCATCACCTTTGGATGACACTTATGACAAAGTGTTTGTTTAAAGTTTATTAAAACCTCAATATCTTCATCAAATTTATATAGAAATTTTAAAACAGGGAATTCAGTACCATAAATATGACAAGAATGTGTGTTTTGGGGCAAATTTTGACTTTGATTTACTGCTGTGTACATGTAAGTGTGCACCATGGAGGCTTACCTATTCATTAAGTTACATATCACTGATCAGATTTTCTTTATTATAAACTCCACACAGACCAAGTGACAAGTGATACATGATACAATAATACTTCCTTGTTAAATATGTTTTATCCTTTCTGACTCCAGCAAAAATAAACTGGTACTTATAATGTTAAAAAGATCAAAGCTTGTATTTTAAAAAATTTTGGGGGTTAGTCTTCTTGCAAAATTTGACTTATTGACAGTGCAAATTTGTAACTAATTTTTAAACAGATTTTAATGCGCCTTCACAGATTCAATACCTTTCTATGAAATTTTTATTGTATATAAAACAATCATTTGCTTCGAAACCAAGCATTCAGGAAATAGAAAAACATCGAACCAGGCTAATGACAACACTAAATTACACTAAATATTATTAGAGATATGACCATTATTTGCCTCCCAAATGTTTTGCTTGATTTGTCATCTCTGACATGGTATATTTGATCACCAGTGGTTCAAGACTACCTGGCAAGTAAAAGTGCCTAGTCGTTTGGATAGGTGTAAAACTGAGGTCCTGTGTACACATTGACATGTACATGTAAGTACCCTGGCACTTGGAATTTGAAGAATATAGTAGACAGAAACTGTAAAATTTTCCTCATAGGACACTGCATTGTATATACATAAATGTACATGTACAATGTACATGTATTGCCTGGATTTAACTTTGACTCTACATGTACATGGGCTATTGACTATTTGACAGTTACTAAATTGTACATTACATATATGTATATAATGCCTAAATTATGATTTAGATCAGATTTGAATTTTAATACAGAGTATATAATATATTAAGAATTTTAATGCTTTGATTACTTCATCAAATGAGTACTTTATGAAAGCTTCAAGCAACAGGGGCTTTAACATGGCTCACAAGTGTGTTTGTTATACACAAATAGTTGTTTTTATACAAAATGTAGGTTATACACATTCATACCTTAGAATAATGTAGCATAAACATTTTGATACAAATGTATTTTCCCTGTAACTACTGAATCAGTTTGCTTTATTTGGATTTTAAAGAAATTGAATATCACCTGGTTTTAGTAAAATAAACAAAGAAATTGGCATTATTACATGTAATGTAATCTTGAATAACAAGATTTAATTTCATAATAAGAATATTTTTTTAAAGCATCAATACGAAACCATGTATGTTCTGTCTAGTGCATGGAATTATATATAATAAATAATGCCTAAAAATAGAAGAAAAAAAATGTGACAGGTGTTTTTCTAACATCTAAATGTACCATCAATTGGTTATTAATAGTGTTTTTCTTTTAGCTATTAACATTTGCTATTCAGAGACGTGACAAAAGGCTTGAGAACATTAATACATTTATATAGTACTTATTTTATACCTACATATAAAAAAGGTAAAAAAGCACAAAGTTATGACTTTGCACTGTTAGGTTTTCGTTCGTAAAATTCGGTGATTTTTAATTCGTAAAACATTTTGAAAATGGTTTCAATCCACAGCCACCACCCATTCATATGAAAGCTTAAACATACATTATGCAAGAGCTAAATCTGCCAATTGCAGGTCTTTCTTGATTCCTGAAATGTTATCTAAATTATTAATTAGACATTAATTAACTTAAACAGACCATAATCAACTCTCGATGTCATCGCTAGCCTGGATTATTTACTGGATTATAATCCGTTCTGCTGCTTAACGCTCATTCATGATTATATCAAAAAATGGATAATCAAGACTATGTTTTTTATCGTACCGACTTTAGTAATGATGATCAAGGTTAGGCCCAAAATTCAATCGCTAAATTCTCGGTTCAGAGTGGATCAATTTGACTGAAACTTTCAGCAAATCCCCTTTACATTATCTTGTTTTTAATATTATAGTTAGAACTGCCAGCTCTTTATCTAATCTCCCATAATGTAACTTTAAATACAGGTAAATATACGACCATAACCTCAGTAAATATTTCATATTCAATGGAAGTATATGTAGGTATAAAATAAGTACTATATAAATGTATTAATGTTCTCAAGCCTTTTGTCACGTCTCTGAATAGCAAATGTTAATAGCTAAAAGAAAAACACTATTAATAACCAATTGATGGTACATTTAGATGTTAGAAAAACACCTGTCACGTTTTTTTTTTTCTATTTTTAGGCATTATTTATTATATATAATTCCATGCACTAGACAGAACATACATGGTTTCGTATTGATGCTTTAAAAATATTCTTATTATGAAATTAAATCTTGTTATTAATTCTTTTTTTTGAGTTTTTGAATTTCAAAAATTTGTCTCAGTGATTTCGTCCGGGAAGTTGACATCTTCTTTAATATAAGCACAATTTTCATGAAATTTGGAATGTTAGTAGATCTGACTGATTCAACTTCAACGATGTCATTAGAAATTTTCTAACTTATCTACCTTTGGAGAAATTAAGGATCAAAGTTTTCAAAAAATCGAAAAATAGTAGGTCAGACCGCCTTGAATTTTTTTTTTTCTACATTACTAGCTAAGACACTACTGATGAGAACACAAAATATGAAGTTTATCAATCTACCTTTGGAGAAATTAAGGATCAAAGTTTTCAAAAAATCGAAAAATAGTAGGTCAGACCGCCTTGAATTTTTTTTTTTCTACATTACTAGCTAAGACACTACTGATGAGAACACAAAATATGAAGTTTATCAATCGAACCGAAAGTGTCACCATCTTAAAACGTGAAAAATCCCTAAGGTTTTTTCATTCTTTTATATACAGACATGGGAGTTACATTTTCAGAATCCTTGAAAGAATGCCTATAAAACTATCGAAGCACGGAGCAAAATTTTGATTTTGTTCAACTGATGGTCACCAATTTGAATTGAATATGTAAAACAGTGAAAAGTCTACGTTAACAGGCTTACTTAAAAATGAACACAATAGGCTGTAGTTTGTAGAATCAGGGTCAAATTTTGGGTATTTGAAAATTTCCACTTTGCCG